ACAAAGAAATAAGGTTAATAATATGAAAAAATATGCAAGAGAAATGTTTTATAATAGTGTTGGTGATATTATAGATAATCTTAATACCAGTAATCCTAAGTCATATTGGAGACTAGTGCGTAAATTATTAAAACAGTCGGGTTCTCAGGAGGTTATTCCACCTCTAGTTAATCCTTGCAATGCAAATATTGAATATGATGATGATAAGAAAGCAAATATTCTAAATAATTATTTTAGCTCTATCTCAAACATAGATGATATTGGCAAATCTTTACCCAGTTTTGATTCCAGAACTGATTCTGTACTTGATTCTATTGTGGTTGAAAGTGATGAAATATGTGATATTTTGAAAATTCTGAAATTAGGAAAAGCATCTGGTCATGATACTATAAGTCATCATATGCTAAAATTTACAGCGAATTCTATATGTAAGCCATTGTCAATTCTTTTTAATATGTCACTAAATTCTAAAATATTCCCTGAAATATGGAAACATGGTATTATTTTACCACTGTTCAAAAAGGGTGATAGACACTTGGTGTCAAATTACCGACCAATTACTTTGTTGTCTTGTATAGGTAAGGTTTTTGAAAGGGTTGTATTTAAACACATCTATAATTTTTTCCTTGATCATTCTTTATTTTACGAAAAACAATCTGGTTTTATGATTCATCATTCCACTGTCCATCAGCTAATAGAAATTTACCATAATATATGTTGTTCATTAGAAGAAAAAAAACATACTTGTCTAATTTTTTGTGATATATCGAAGGCTTTTGACCGAGTTTGGCATAGGGGTCTTTTACATAAATTACATGCTTATGGTATTAGAGATGGTTTACTACATTGGTTTAAAAATTACATTTCAAACAGACAACAACAGGTTCTTGTTAAAGGTGTGTATTCTAATATAGGTTACACAAATGCTGGTGTACCACAAGGAAGTGTGTTAGGTCCTCTGTTATTTTTGGTTTATATTAATGATATTGTTGATAATTTAAATTGTATTTCACGCTTATTTGCTGATGATACCTCTTTGATGTATTCTTCGTCTTCTCATGCTGATATTGAAATGTGTGTAAACAGAGATTTGGAAAAACTTGACAAATGGTCACGGGACTGGCTTACTAAATTTAATCAACAGAAAACTGATGTGTTATTTATATCTAATTCGCGAAATATACTTCCTTTACAGATTTGTTTTGGTACTGAGACTCTGAATTGTGTTGAAAGTCATAAACATTTAGGCGTAATATTTAGTGCAGATGCAAAATGGTCTTTACATATTTCCGAAATTCAAAAAACATGCATGAAAAAGGTATCAGTACTACGAAAGTTTAAATTACTGTTGAGTAGGAAAACTTTGTTAAGAATATATAAAGTATTTGTGTTGCCTGTGTTGGAATATGCCTGTGAAGTTTGGGACGGTTGTTCTCTGGCAGATCTAACTAAACTTGAACAAGTTCAGCTTGAAGCAGCAAGAATTATTACTGGCCTACCCTCTTTTTCTAGTAAACAATCACTTTATCAAGAATCCCAACTTGAACCTCTATCTGAAAGAAGAAAACTTAAGAAACTTTCCCTAATGTACAAACTCCATAATAAACAAACACCTTCTTATTTAACTAACATTCTTCCTCCTAAAGTATGCGAACGCAATAGCTACAACTTGAGAAATACTGAAAACTACACTGTTCCCAATTTCCGTCTGTCTAGTTCATTCCAATCCTTTATTCCTTCTTCTATAAGACTATGGAACGATTTACCAAATACTGTCAGAGAGCAGCCATCCGTTAACATTTTTAAATCATCGATTAAGCGTAACCAAGGTTACTTGTTGCCTATTTTTTTTCATGTAGGAAATCGAAAACTAAATATTTTACATACACGATTGCGTCATTCATGTAGTAGTTTAAATTATGATTTGTATAGAGTTAATATTGTAGGTGATCCAATGTGTGCATGTGGAAATGAGTGTGAAAATGCAGTCCATTACTTTTTTGATTGTATGCTGTATATCAGACAAAGACAAATTTTGATTGATGATATCTCACGTTATTGTAATATTTCTCTAAATGTTATTATGTACGGTTCTCCAAATTTGTCAGATGAAGACAATGAAAATATCTTCCATATAGTCCAAACCTACATTAAAAATAGTAACAGATTTTAAGGTCAGTAGTATTATCCTATCATCTCTCTTTCTTATTCTTCTAAATTTCTTTTCTTCCCTTTTCCCTTCCTTTCTTCTTTGTTCATATATATTATAAATATATTTGTTGTTGTTGTCATGTAATCAATATAATGAAATGTATGGGAGAGGGCGTTTCTAAGTTGAGATAACTTGTGCCTAATCCTTTTTGTTGAATGACAAATAAAAAATGTTTAAATAAATCGAACACCTTCTGTGGGTGATGCAAGTATACTTCAAGTTTGATTAAGATATCATTAACAGTTTAAAATTCACTGGCCGCACAAGACTTACTGAAATTGTTGCACTTATTTGACATTGAAGTGAAGGTCACAGTGACCCAATTCCAGTGCACTGCACACCTTCTGTGTACCTTAAGTTTCAAAGTTATGGCCTCGACAAGTTGCGATTAGAAGAACCAGTACTAATACAATGTCTCCCTTCATTCGAAGGAGAGACATAATAATTAGGTCACTGTGACCTATGACTTGACCTTTACTTCTGAAAATGTTTGTCCAGGGCATATCTTCTATACTATTTCATCTGGAGTAACCAGATTTGGTGTACAAGGACATATTGGGGTGGTAAAGTGCAAGAAGAAGGTCACTACGACCTCACTGTGATCTATGATTCCTGACATAAGTGTACTGTTTGTTTATTATAGAAATCATTACCGGTGGGGGACTATGGATTGCCTTGTTATTTGACATTTAACTTTGCATTATCCTGAATTTGAAAAAAACAACACATTTGGACATCACGATGAAAGGGTATGTAGAAAACAATACACTGACGACACACCAATATTTAATGTAATCCAAATTTTCTCCTCACTATGTTTTTCTTAATTCTTTAGGTTTGATGCTTTCATGATATGAATAAATGTCTTGATAGTAACACTATTTAAGTGTGATTTCATTTTTGCAAACTTTGTAGCTCTCCATGCAAGCATGCTACTGCCCAAATATCATCAACTCAAGCTTTCTCATTCTTCAGAAACAGATGTGTCAAGTTTTTGTAAGGTAAAGGTACCACTGCATCTATTATTATCAGAGTTCCATCACTTTATTACACACAGTAGTCTCCCTTCTGTAAAGATATCATGAAGCAGCAAAAAAGACTTTTTCTGGTTAAGAGTAATTGCCCTATAACTTATAGATTCCCTTTACTTTCAGATACATATATGTCACAAGGTGTTGCAGAGCGCCCCGTATTGGCCCTGTTTATGAAGTAACAACCCCACATCCAGTTTGTTAGATACTTGAAATGTTAAAAATGTTATCCCTTTTTGGCCCTTAAAAAGGCTAGCCCCTTATCCTTTGCAAATGTCATTCCCCGTCACCTAGAAATATTTCCCACAAAATTTTGGCTTAAGTCTGTCGAGTTATCAAGAGAAACTTGTTTGAAACAGCTTATAGAGAGTGCCAAGCTAAGTTAAATGTCTCAAAAATTATTTCACATGAATGATAGGATGATTATACATCTGTAATATAGGTACCTGTCACCAGACATGTTCCAACTGACAACAACAAAAATAAGTTAATGAATTCAAATCTTTTATTTAATTAAAAAATATCATTATTTGTTGAATAACCAGTACACAAAGCAAAAGGAAAATTTGAGGCATAACAAACAAGTTTTTGCAGGCATAAATTAAATGATTTAAAATTGCAGGTTATAATCAACTGAAACACGAAAAACAAGTCTAAATTTAATTCTTTTATTAGAAATGTGTATCACAGCTTCATGATGCAATCAAAATTAATAATAAACGACTACCCATTACATGGACTTTAACAAACTGAATATGGTGTAATCCAGATGTTTCAATATACCATATATTTCTGAAAAAAGAGCAATTCTTTTCTTGAAATGCAGAACATCCGAAGTAAATTTACTATGTAGTCCACTGATTTACAACGGTCCCTGTAGCAGGAGCACTATCACATATTTACTGTCAGTACATGTACATACATATCTATTTCAAGTGTCTGCCACTAATTTGGTGCCATTTCAAAATGCATCAATGCAAGGTCAGCTTAAGGAATTTGAGATGTATGCGATATTGGTTGACACTCTTGACCCGATGTTAAACAATTTTAACAAGAGGCCCAAGGGCCTTAGCGGTCACCTGAGTTTTATCATAGGTACTGGTAGCTTTATTTTATTGTTTAGATGTGATGTGGAAATCAGCATGTAAACTAAGTGAAATACAATACTTGTCATGTCATCAAAGGATAAGAATTTGAAAATATTGGTAAATGTTCCCTTTGGGGACCCGCCCTAGCTCCTGGGGAAGGGGCAGGAATCCCAATTTAACAATGTAACACCCTCATTCACCAAAGATGATTTTGACTAAGTTTGAGTAATTTTCTGCTGAAAATGGATAAAAATACCCAAAAGTGTTATTTCCCTATATAAACTATAGTAAACTTTAACCCCCTCCCCAAGGGAGAACGCATAGCTCGGAGGTCCTGAAATTTACAATTTAAATAAAGCCCCTGATGATCTTTCCATCCATCACTTGAGCAAAGCTCAGGTGACCTAAAAATACATCACATGCAGCCTATGGGAAAGTGATTCTGTGAAAGTTTTTCATTAATTTGAACAAATATTATAATAAGAGGATGTTTTCTCTCTTTAACCCTTACACCACTGTAAACCATAATGGACACATCCAGAGTAATGAATGGTAGAGTCTACTAAAGTTACATAGGGATGAAAGAGTTAACCCATCAACTGTTGTGGCAGCCATTTGTTTTCATTTTAGAAGGCACTTGTCTATCAGGATAAGGATTTAATGACTCAACCATGCTTCTAACAACATACCCCATTACAGAAAGTCTCAATACGTATTTGCAAGATAATGTTGAAATGTCAGATATCTGTAGCTAGTACCAGTGTACATTGTTTTTAATACAGTTTACACAGATTACTCACCACAATACACACCGATACATTAACTCTGATATTGCCCATAATTAATAGGATGAGCTCTAACCTAAAGGAGTGCGTGACAGATAAGAAAATTACTTTGAGTTGGGTTTTGTACATATGGAGACTGATCCATCGATTACTTTAATTTCTCAATTAATGTGATGTTAAATCATTAGATTTCTTTACGACACATGCTAAGTGGACTAATTAGAATAATATCTGTAATTATATATTTGGTTATCAGACATAATATTACTGACAGGTAGTTCTTCATCTTACAATGCTTTTGGTTGGGACTAGCAAGAGAAACGCAAACTTACCATTTTACTTCCCTTTCTATTATAATTAATAATTTAGATCTTAATTCAATGTACAAGCGCGACCTGCATACCACACTTCCATCAAAGTGAAGATATATTTTAAGCACAAGTTAATGTGTACTTACTTTAAAAGTTAATTTGACCTCTTAGCAAAACAGTAATCATGACAAATCAAGAAATGAACCATTATCGTAAAATTGAATAATTTAAAATAAAACAAACGAGTATCAACATGAACCTTGAAACAAGAAATAAAATATTTTGGCCAGGTGCCTCTAAGTGTATGTACTGATATTAATATAACCATCACATTATAACCTCAGTCTCTAGTCATCATCTGTATCGTAGTCTGTCTTCAGTTCTGTTTTAAATATTGGTGATAAATTCTATCTCTTCTCTCCATCGATAACACAGGCTTCATGATCTCCCCCACTTCAGTAATTCGGCGTTGAAATCGTTCCCTATCACGGACACATTCCTCCCAGTGTGATTTCCGGTCTTCATCATCCAAATCATATACTGTACACAACTGGTCTCCCTCAGCAAAAGTCACCTGCAAGTCAAAAAAAGAACCAATAAAATAGTGTAAAATTTAATGCTTTTGTAGACATAATAAACATAATGTACAAACTGTTTTTGTTGGTAGGTAGAAATCATTTTTGAAAAATCATTTTAACCAGCTTGATGAAGTCGACCATTTTTGGTTTAGGTTATAGTAATTAATGTTTGCACCAATATAAGTATTATTTTAACAGCAGCCAAAATGGAAATTTTTACTGCAGCAAGATTTAATTTAAACTAATTGTCACTGCAGCAATATTTATTTCAAACTATGTCAATCAGCTTACTTGCCTATTCTTACGCTTGATATATGATTGTTCTGTAAAAATTAAAATTTGCGAAACTTTCCATGAAATTCCCACTATTTCATATCTAACATCCTTGATCAGCAAAAGATTAACTCGTGTCTGATACCTCATTTTAATGTATGTACCTTAGATTTGGATTTTTTCCGTTGACTTATAGAAAAGTTCATGCTCCATTTCAAGTTAACATCCAGTATCTCCTGTTGTCTCTTGTCACTTTCACAACCGTTGGTTGGACTGGGTTCCTTAGGGGAGTTGGTAGCCATAGGTTGTTTCACAGGACAAAACACATTAAGTTGTAATGGACAGGAGAAAAAGTCCAGCTCATCTACTCCATCACTATCTGAAAAATCATCACCACTGTCTTCTGAAAAGTCATCAGACTCACTATCAAAGGACACCAGAAAGGAATGCTGTTGTAATGGACTGACAGGTGAGCTGTTGGAATTTATGCCAAGTAGAAATGCCACCGTATTGGCAGACCCTGAGTTTTTAGTTGTACCTGATCTCGCAGATGAACCCTTTTCTTTACATTTTTTTTCCTGTGATCGAGTTTTCTGTTCATTGTTTTTTGCTTGGCAGCTGGGGATTTCGGATAGATCTTCTTTTCTAGCCTTGGAACGCCTTCGCTTCTTTGCTGATGGACGGCATCCCTTTTTATGACTATTTCTAACTAATAGCACAATTCTTCTTGCATAGTCTTTATCTAAATCGGAAGGCTCACTTTTCTTCTCTGCACAATTAGAACTTTGTGGTGACTCTGTATTAGACACTCCAACAGGGATTTTACGATGATCATCTTTTGAGCAAGACTGATGTTCATTTGGCTGAATTTCTGATGATGTTCCATTGTCTTTATTTGTAGGTATTAAATCATTTTCCTCAAACATACAGGTCACATGAATCACATTGTCATCTGGTTGGAATATGTCACTTATAACGGATGCTTCTCGTTGCAAAGTTTTGTTGTTAATTGACGAATCATTGGATGTTTCTGAGTCTATAGACACTGTCCTCACTCTGAAACCAATTCGCTGAGGAACGTCTGACCCCCCAATTTCTTCTGACTGATCACATTCAAACCAATCAATAATTTGGACAGATGCTGATTTGTGTCCATTGCTGCCTGCGTCAAGTTCTTTGCCTTTGGTGGCAGGGACTGTAGATATATCAGGCTTTTCCACTTTAAGTTGCAAGTCTTCACATGACTTTTTCTGACTTGGCATTGCACATTCAATGTTTATCACAGGCTTGGGAGTTTTATCATTGTCAATGACATTTTTGGAATGCGACAAAGTTTCACTAGTACTATCACTTCTTCTGAGAGGCTCTGTTGTACTTTCCAACCTGTCTTGAATGATTAATTTATCATCTTGCAAAATGTTTTCTTGAGTGGGTTTTCTCCAGTTAGAACAATCACTTGGAACTCGGTCAGACGTGAATGAATATCTAGGTCGACGGCTGTACCTGTGTCCATCCACATGTTGTCCTCTATGAGAAGCCCTATTTGGGTACCTCTGTCCAAGATGGTGACCTGTCACTGCTGGGTGGAATCCAGTTTTCTGATGCTGGAAATGCTTGAATTCTGGGGTACAAATGTTTGTAGAGTTTTTCAAATTTGAAAAGGCACAACTATTAGGCCGGGTTGGTGTTTTCTTGCGACAGCCCCAATGTGGGGCAGAGTATGGTGAGCTATGTGAATTCATAGCTTGTGTTTGGTTAAACTCATTCAATACAAAATCACTTTCCATATTCATGGGCATAACGTTCGGTGCACTACTATAATTAATAAAACCTCTTTTAGTCCCATGTAATTTCATAAAAGCAGAGTCAAATAGGGTAGCCATGTCTGGTATGTATCTATCAGTTGAACAGCTGCCTGATGTAATTTCACCAGTACTGTCTAAACGCAAAAAAACTGGAGTTACGTGACCTTTTTCAGGTACGGGGTGTTTTTTGTCCTTACACCGCCATTTTGTCCCATATGGATTCATAACCCGACACTAATTAGTCATCCCATCCTGATCCGACAGCTTGATACGCGTTAATAACGAACATGTTATCTGAATAAGGGATAAGATAATCACACATTAAAACACTGTCACCCATAGGAGACATAAAGTTATGAAAATACCACTTATGTGTATCGGCGAGAGCAGGATTTGTTCGAACAGCGTGTTGGTTACTATCAGTCAGATTAACAAACCTTCTTTTAAAAACACTCTTACAAAAATCTGGCTTCGTTGAATATGTGGTTGATATCCTTCTGTTTAATTCCGAATTCATCTTCATATAACTTCAGTATTCACTGGTTAAAACTGTCGTGTATCATTCTCGTTCTGTTAATCATATTGTGTTGAAGGTTCATGTTTATTCTAAAAATAGTGTTTTCCCGGAAGTTCGAGAAAAGGAGTAGTTATAGGCATTTTCACATACGCGTAGCAAAATAGTTCGCATGTAAAGCAACACATAAATGTAAATATATCATGGTTGATATATATTATCGGGTTTGTTCTTTTATTAATTATATGGTGATTTGTTCCTGTTATTGTAATGATGATAAAAACTCAAATAATTATTATGCAAAGAGGATAGCGCATTAATTCATACTTGCTTATGTTACTTAATTTAGATAATACAACCAATGCCAAGGACGTTTGCTTTATTGCATCAGATATAAAGGCGGATAACTCATAGTATGTATTGCGTTATTCACATTCCGTTTTGTAACTAGCCTTCATTTACGTTGTTATAATGTTCCCTTACTTCAGTTTTCACAGCACAAATATAAACGCATTTAAACTATACTGTACAAGTCTTAGTCTGAATGAAATTAGTTAAAATGGTTTTGTCAATTTTTGGAAAAAAACCGCATTTATATTTAAAAACACGTCATATGTAAATAAATGTATAAAGATTCTGAAAACTACACGTTTTCATTATTGACTTCGCACATAGAAATTTAAGGCATTATTAAATGAATATTATGAGAGTCGTTATGCTTAATTAAGATATATATTCATTTATTTTATTAATTAGAAAACATTAACCGGTATAGATTCTAATTGATAAATTGTTTATTAGTATATTGTAGTATAATTAATTCTAAGCTATAATTTCAAATTTATATGATATCTCAGTTCGATTTTTCTCGTTTTCAATTCTTTTATGGATCGACTTCTTTCTCGATATTTTTTCGGGCAGACCAGAGACGTATATATATATATATACTTTGGGCAGATCTAATTACAGTCTTCAACTGATAATTTTCTAAATGTGTGATGAACGTTTTAATCACACTTGACTGGGAACCAGACTTACAACCTCTATGTACGTAATTTGATGAAGAGCGACAGTGTGGTGACAATCTAGGACGAACTTTCTAAAAAAAATCTGATGAAACTCACTGATTATACAAGCAGAGTACGTATACGGTACTATAATGGCGGGAATGCTATTCTATATATATGTATAAGACTTATATATGTCGTTGCTAGTACTTTAATTTATTTCGCAGTCCTAGATAAAGAGAATCTTAATTCAATTTCATATACGTAATAATATACTAAAAATGTTTTAAATTTAGAACTTTCACCTCATAATGAGTTCCTAGGCCTACTGTAATTGTAATACTGTAATTACTGGGACGTGGTCAAAGGAGGAAATATACTAGACATGATCAATTCAATATGAAGGAATAATATATGTATAGAGAGAGAGATTTCTATCATATATCCTTTAAGGCATATGAATATTGTGTCTTTTCTGTCCACATTTCAAACCACAAAAATAGATTGGGAACGCTCCCTTTTGCCCATACATGTAAATGATTCAAATAAATAATCTGACTGCTAATAAATGACACATTTTGCTATTTATGTGTAAATATTGACCAAGTTTCATCAGAATCTTGACATATTTGACAAAGTTATTGAGCGTCGGGAAACTGTCAACCAACCAGAGCGCAATATGCTAAGTAATTATGTGTTGATTTGTTCAAATTAGGAAAGCTTTAGCCTTTTTACATGTTTACCAAATTTCATCAAGATCGAAAACTATTTAGGCAGTTATCTTGCGGAAACCAAAGAGTGGCCGTTGACCCAATCAGAGTACAGTATAGCTAATGCACCATTATGTACGGATTTTGTTCAACTTCGTTCTTAGAATAGCTGCAGTCTTTTTTTTTGTATTATAAATGCTTACCAAGTTTAATCAAAGTCGAACAATAGTTAAGGAAACTATCTTGCGGAAACTAAAGTATGTACGGACGGACGCTCCTTATACTACAATACGTCTGTCCATATTGCAAACCACAAAAACAAGAGGCCCAGATCGCTCACCTGAATATGTTTAAAAGAATTGGTATGAAGTAAAGATATAGTACTCCATGGTAGGTGCTGTAAGTACAAATCCTTTCATTCCTACAGAAGAAGAAGGATTTTAAAGAATTTGCTATATTTCCCCTATTGCGCCCCGCCCCTCAGCCCCCAGGGGGCCAGACCAACCATTTATACAAAACTTGTTCCCCTTCCCTCAAGGATGCTTCTGACCGAATTTGGTCAAAATCTGCTCAGTCGTTCATGACTAGTAGCGTTTTAAAGGAAAAGTTGACAGACGGACGGACCACGGACGCTGCGGTATGGCATACGCTCACCATGGTCCTTCGGACCAGGTGAGCTAATAAATACTGGCAAGGCTAACGTTGACGGGCGTATAAAAAATAAAGGTTGTTTCATCTCAGTATATGGTGATTGTTTTGCATTCACGATAAAATTAACCTCTTAGTTACGGATTCAAAACCATGAAATTTCAATGCCATATCAAGGCAGCAATATAGAGAAAGTAATCTCCAAAACATTGCAAGTCACATCAAATGTTACAGAAACAGTGTGTATATTGACATGAGTCTCACACTCAACCGAAGTTAACGTGACGTCTGTAATAGTTAACACGTCATGAAGTGACTTAATTCAGGAGGAATTAACTGAGAACGGTAGGACACTTTTTGCCAGATGTCGGACCTAATCAGTCCCCTTTCCGTGGTTCCCCCCCCCCCCCCCCCCCCCCCCCC